GTTAAGGGGCCTGCAAGGGAAATTCAATTCCTAGGAACAAAATGGCAAGATGGGTGCCGCCACATCCCAAATGGAGGTGATAAGCAAGATCACAGGCATTGCCCCAGCAACCCCTAAAATGATACTCAGTCTTTCCTGGGCACTGTGGGGTTCTGGAGGATGCACATCCCGAACTACAGCCTGGTTGTGATGCATATCATCAAATGTAATGTGATGTCGAGAACAGATGAGAAGATTTCTTTTTACTAACTATAGGGAATGTTAATTATGGCCTTGTAATATTCTCTGCAGATCAAGAAAGCAAACATATTGTGTATAGGTGGCTAAGTTTTGGAGTCAGGGAAGGTGGAGTGGGGGTTGTTCTGTGTAAAGATGCCAGGGTCAGCCTTGTGCCAGGCACAGCCAGTTCTAGTACTCCACAGCAGCCCCACTACAGACCACAGCTGATCACAGCTGGTGGCATCTCTTGGAAAACGTATTTAAGAAAGGGCAAAACTCTGCCCCAGAATGAGGAGACAAGGAAAAAAAGTAAGTAAGACAGCCCTGCAACACCAAGGTGAGATAAGAAGGGAGGAGGTGCTCCAGGTGCCAGAGCAGAGCATTCCCTGCAGCCCTTGGGGACACCATGGCATGGTAGGTATGTCCTTGCAACCTAAGGAAAGGACCATGCCAGAGCAGATATTTGCAAACTGCAGCCCATGAAGGACCCTACACCAGACCAGGTGGTTATGTACTGGAGAAACCTGCAGCCTGTGGAGAGCCCATGCTGGAGCAGGGGAGAAGTGTGAAGAGGAAAGAGTGACAATGAGGAGCTGTTATGGACTGACCACAGTCCCCATTCCCCTTCCTCCCTGCACAACTTGGTTCAGGGGATGATGTAGAGGAATTAGGGATGGAGGAGTAAAGTTGAGCTGAGGAATGGGGTGGGGGGTGGTGTTTGGGAACATGTTTCAGTTTTTGTCTTTGTTTCTCACCATCCCACTCTATTTTAATTGGCAATAGGTTAAACAAATTTTTCCCAAATCAAGTCTGGTTTGCCCATGATGTTAACTGGTAAGTTATCTCCCTGTCTTGATTTCAACCCACAAGCTTTTCTGTCTAATTTCACCTGGCTATCTTGTTGAGGAGATGGAGTGGGAGAGCACCTGGGTGGGCATCTGGCAGCCTGCCAAGGTCAATTCACCACAGCAAGAAATGTTCTTAATGTCTTCTTTTTATAGGGACTCTTTATCATTTATGGTCCTTCTATATGTGTCATAATATATAACATTCTATTCCTTGGTTTTCTTTACCAATAATTTGTTATAAGTGCAGTATGCACCATAATGAGCCTGACCTGACATGCTCATGCAATAAAGGCTGGGAAGAAATGTCTGATTAATCTTTATGTGTACTAGCAGCCAGAATATTAGTTTTCTAGTCTTAAGAGCTTTAAATCTCATTGTAATATGAAAAAAATTTCATATTTTTGTTACAAATACTAGCTAATATTTGCAATTTGCTGTGTAGCAACATTAAATCACACCTCACACACTGTCATGACTCACATGTTAGCTTCACAGGTGACCATGTGCTATGTCTTTTGAAAGGTAAGGTAGTTTTGCCAAAAAAAACAAAGCAAGAATGGGTCTGGCCAGTATTCAGAACATTCAAATCCCAGAGCAATTTGTGGCAGATTGTGGAAAAACAAACCCTCAAGACAACTTTGCACCTTTTTCGCTGTTTTTTTTTTGTGTGTGTGTGTGGGGGGGGGTTTGGTTTTTTTGGTGTTTTTTTGTTTTTGTTTTTTTTTTGGGGGGGGGGGTCCGAATTAATACATAGTTACTCGAAAATAATATAAAAATCACCATGTGAAGATCTGCAGACCTGCAGTGTTCCTTGTTATCTGGATATCTCAAGCCATACAGCAACATTACCACAAAGCTCTGTCTGCATAGGCTACTTTTACCTTTTACACTGCTTCTGTTACAGATTTCAGGAGGTATGTCTCTATACGCAGCTGCATCTTATAATGAGAAAGTACTCCAACTCCTCATTGGAAACATAAGAATTATTTTGCTGACACATAGCTTTAGGATACAGTAATTTGTAAATTGCTATGATTTCTAAACCAACACTACAATATTTTGCAGATAGACTCTTGGGTTTGGTGTATATGCTCTTGACAAAGCGACAGGTAAATATTTTATTTGAGTACAAAATACATCTGCCTACATTTTTTAAAAAAAAACCCCACAAATGTAATTAAACGATTAAGAGTATGATCAAGACCATTAATGCAGGTTTGGTTTTTTTTTTTTTTTCTTATTGTTAAAATGTTTAACAAATGTAGCTGCAATAACAAAGAGAATCAATGTTCTCTCAAGTTTCAGCTCATCATTTTGTGAAGGCAGACTTGAACTGCAAAAGTTGTGGTAATATTGTGGGTAGTGAAAAGAAGCCGAGTTTGTAGAGATCCCTTGATAATTCAGATCTCTATTGGAAATACATTTGTACCTTCTACCTGTGAACACCAATCAGACCTTTAAAATTTCCATGCTAAAAATGCATCAAACAAGAAAAATTAGTTGACAGACTGGTTTTGTGGTTAAAATATATATATTTAAAAAAAAAAAAAAAAAAAGGAGAAAAAAGTGTAATTTTTAAATGTATTGTTTTGGAGAAAACATTAAGCACATTTTCAAATGTCCTTAGCAGATCTCAGTTATCATCTTGTAAATGAACCTCATGTGGTAGGCATCCATACATAGTTTAGCCTGGAATCATATAACTGTGTCCATTGTGTTCATCCATTCCCTTAATTTAAGATGCATAGACTGAGTCAGTTCTTGAATGAGCAGTCTGTAAGGGTCACTCATGAAGAGGTGGTGATGATTTGGCACACTAATGGCACTTAGTATCCCAGTATGTGAAGAAATGACTCTGTGATGTCTTGTGAATAAACCATCTACTGAACAGTTTATTTACTGATCATTGTGTCAGGCTTCAGATCCTTTTGTTACAGCAATAGTGTTGCTGTAACTCAGAAGAAACAGTCAAATGAGTGGCATAGCTAAATGTCTGTTCTGACAAGTATATTCCACCTGTTAGATTTCTACTGCAGTCTGAAATTTTTTGTTTTTGGTTCCTGTCTTCAAGTGCTAATTAACTTGCATCTCAGAAGTGACTGCATTTCGATGTAAGGAGAAGCAATCTTGAATCACTGATATATGGGTTTGCTTGTCATGTGTTTTTGAATAAACAATTTTACATACAAATAGAGAGCAGCTTGTGAAATGACTTGACGAGTCCCAGATGGAGTCAAACTGTGCTTCAAGCTGAAATCATTGTTGGGTTCTAGTAACCAGAGACAGATATAAACATATATGTAACCACTAGTCCACTTGTCTTATTGTCTACACAGTATTTCAGAAGCATTAGTCATGCTCTAATCCTAATGTCAGACTTGAAGGACTGGGACCAATGGATTGAAAAAACACTCGATATTATATAAATCTCCAAGTTCTAAAGTCAACATTTATGTCTCCTTTCTGGGTATGGCTGAGATGGAATTTCCTTCCTAGCAGTCCATATGGTGTTCTTTTTTGGCTTTGTGACTAAACCAGTGCTGGTAACACACTAGTGTTTTGGATATTGCTGGGTAGTACTTGCACAATGTCAAGGTTTTCTCTTTTTTCCACTCTGCCTCAGCAGCAAGTAGTCTGGGGATGGGCAAGAAACTGGGAGGGGACAAAACCTGAAGACATGACTCAGATTGACCAAAGGGATAATCCATATCATATAATGTCATATTCAGCAATTTTTATGGTTGAGAGTTTGGGATAGGTAGCCATTGCTCAGAGACTGGCTGGATATCATTCTACTCCTAGGACATGATAAGTGATTGCTTTGCATCACTTCTATCACTTTTGTTTAGGTGTTGTCATGTTCCGTCTCCCCCACTTCTTATTTTATTTGTTTATTAAACTACCTTTATATCAACCCATGAGTTTTCTCACTTTTTCCCTTCCTATTCTCTCTGCCATCCCACTGGGAGGTGGCAGGAGTGAGCAAGTGCCTGCCTGATGCTCAGCTGCTGACCAGGGACAACCCACCACATGTGAGTATGTGCAACATCGGATGCATATGATTAGTGCCTTATGAACCATTTGTTGTTTGAATACTTCAGTGTCGCAAAAGTAACTCCAGTGAACACTGAAAAAATGGCAGAGAATGTTAAATTCTCCACAAATTCTAAGATTCTGAAATTTCTGATAGTTAAACCATAAAAGAGATGTCATATTCCCCCGTGTCAGACTTTTTGAGTGCAGACACAAATGCCAGCAACTATTTGTCATTAGAAAAGAAAACTTTAAAAAACTTCACCAAAACCAAACAAGTCAGAGAATATAATCTATTTATTTTTACATATTAGGTCCTAGTATGAGGACATCTGAGTAAAACTATGCTACATGAACAGAGTAAAATGAAGGTATAACACTAACAGACCGCAACAGCTGTATTCAAACAGACTGGAAGTTTACCCATGACAATTTCCTCCCCTCAGACAGTGGCCACTGGCTGATGTCTAGGAAAAGACAGCATGTTGCATGATAGAGATAGCTTCCCTTGTTTTATTCTTCTAATGTCTAAACCCAGGAGAACCTCATATTTATTCAAATTTTCATGAATTTCCCTAATCACTTCCTTAACCTATTCACATCTTTGGTCTCCAATTACACCTGTCACAAAGATTTCCACAATATAAACAATTAACTTCTGGCTGCTTTCAGCATGATAATACTATTCTGTCTTCAGCACTATGAATACTCTTTAAACCAGATTGTATAACCAAAGGTGTATTTCAGGTGCTGTATTCAAATTTTCCTTTTGCTTTGAGAGCATTCTCTAATGTACATAAGGGATCATTGAACTGTTCATTGGGTTTTAAAGACTTATAATGTTCAGATTATTACATACTGCAAATTATTGTTATTTCTGAGTGACTCTACAAAAGCACCATGACACTTTTTGATGTGTTCCATGCAACTTTTCTTCAGGAAAAAAAAGAGAAAAACAGAGGCGAGGTGGAGAGGCGAGGTGAGGCAAGGGGGAGAGGGAGAGGAGAGGAGAGGAGAGGAGAGGAGAGGAGAGTTTAAATACAATATCAAATACAAACTGTTCCATACATTTATCCTTTAAGTTTAAAATACACCATGCACTAATGCCAACAAAGTTTGAATAATATAAATTCCATGTTGCCATCAATTTTTTTATTTTCCCTTTTTTATTTGTGGTGGGGAGAACATATCTTGTTTTAAAAATAAGTCTTTGTTGGAGAGCTGGAGGTATTTCACAATCACATTATATGTTAGAGCTTAAGTTGAAGACCTGACTGAACACATTTTTCTAATGAATTAAACTTAACCTTCATCCCCTGATTATCTACATTCACATCAAAACAGAATTTGAGCACAGCCAGCCCTTCTAGACAGACAGCACACAGTGAGAGACAGCAGTGTAATGCTTTCTAGTGCTTTATTCCATCCATCATATCCCTAGCATATATGATTGCCTGGCATGTTGTCATCAATATTACGTACAGAATTCTCAGTAGCCTTCATGAACTTGAACACAAAGCATTAAGAAAGCTTCCAAGGTAGAGTTTTATTTCCTGAAGACAAATTTGGAATGCTTCTGCAGATATAGAAAGGTTTCATTACAATTTTGAACTAGTATCAAAGACCTAAGGAAATGTACAAGGTAATTTTAATTTTGTCTGGGGGTTGGGAGAAAAGAAGGAGACAGAAGCAAGATGATAGGAATAAAAATACTGAGAGAAACATTGGCTTCGGCTTCTTGCCAAGTACTAAATCCCCATTGTTTTAAATTACAACAGGACTATCATAAACTCACAGTATGTTCTATGTATTGGTTTCCTTACTCAAACAAATTCTTCCAAATGCAGTTTTCAGACATGACTAGTTCTGTCATCTGGTGGTCATCAGGAATGTGACATTAATTATACTGACAATTGCTAATATAGATTATTTTGTAAATAATTAACAATTGCCTTACAAAAACTGAATGCATGTAATACTTATGGATCCTTTTTCAACTTTTACCCTTTGCTGCTCGTTTATGAATAGGCAGCAAATGGTAAAATTTTTTATCTTTCTTGGCTAGTGCCAATCTGTTGCCATACCTTACATCACAGTGTGAAATTAATAGAAGTGCACACATCAGGTTCAACAATTTTTACACAAATCCCTCAGCTTGACTAAATATTGTAATTCAAATAATTTTTGAAACTGAATTAGTGTGTTCATGTACAGTCTTTTGATTCATATATATTTCCTCAAATGCACTTAAATCAGAATTAATCACATTAAGGTCATGACACTCCTGCAATTTGTTTTTTACAGAAGTAGCTCTCATTAACAACAGGGTGATGACCTTAGCTTTGATTTTTCTGATTTTGTCAGTTTGTGCTACAATTTTAAAGAGATTTAAAACTAGGCTTTTCAGCATTACATTCTTTAAACTGTGGTCTTAACAACTGCAATTTCCTGTGCGCAGTCCATTTAGTGTTCCTAATCCTTTCTTACTGAATCAGCGAAATACTCTCTTTTAACTTTCTGATGTCCTTTATGAGATGTAGTTATAAATCTTTCTGTCCCAATAATGCCATTACAGTCATCTATAGTTTGACTAATATGCAGTCATCAATGCAGACAGTTTTCATAGCATTGTATAAAATTACATTCATGGAGCAAACATACTAGAAGTAACCCTAAAATATCCACTAAACAGCATATCAGAATATACTGTCACTATTTGTATTCACTTCACTCTTTGTTTACCCTATGTTGTCCTAAAACACTATGTTTTGCGTAAAGTCAAGCTTATGTTTAGATGTGAGAGTAGATGGAAGCTAAAGTTATAGTAACAGTGTCATTTTAACATGCATTTAGAAGACAAAACTTTGTCTGATGTCAGAAAGAGATGAAAACTATTACTGCCTATGACAATATAGATATCACTAATCTCCTGTAATAGAAATATAACAGGACTATACATAACAATTCTAAGAAACATTCATCTATCTAAAGCCTGTAGAACCTTTAAACATTTATAATGTATAAAGCATCAACTAAAATAATACAAATAATTTAAGGAAAACCTTAAAAATATTTTCTCTAGATTAAATGTATATTTCTCTATGTATTTGACTCAACACTTAGAAGAAAAAAAAAAAATCAGGAAGACCCACTCTGGATAGTCAGAGAACATCTTTAACTAATAGGAAAAAAAAGGTGACAGAATGCAGGATGAAAAGAGGGATCAGTAGTTATTTTCTAGCAAATGCTGATAAACTGCCATTTCAAAATATTACAAAATTTTGGAGTCGGTTTGCCAGTAGGAGCTGTGTTTCAGTGCCGACCACTTCTGAGGCAGCCTGAACTCCTTCATAAGCTGCCAGTATCTCCTTCTCCGTTGGTGTATAATTAGCTTCAGAGCCTTTGTATCCCTGTAAGGGACTGTGTCAGACTGTATTTCTTAACATTGATATCACACCCCTACCAGTTCCTGGCCGTCGAGACAGAAACTGTCCCAGATTAAACCACAACATTGCCCAAAGTTAAATCGGGATGAAGAAGATGTGCAGGACGAAGAAGACGTGCAGGCCGGCACGACCACCATGAACACCCCTGCGTGTGCACTTGGAAGATGATGAGGTAATGGATCCCGTGGAAATGGACAGACTGTTTGGAGGAATCTGGGACAATAAAAGGACTGCGTACCGCTCTCCTGGAATTCTACTCTACCTGTATCTCTCTCCCTCTCATCCTTGTCATCGCTTCTGAAGCTTGAAGCACCATCATCTGCACCGAGGTCAAGCCAACAGTACATCACTAGATTCATGGTGGTGGTAACTAGCCTTGCTGCATCTCTGCCGGGTTTTTTTTTTGTTTGTTTGTTTCTTTCTTGCTTGTTTAGGGATTTTGGTTTTTCCTTCCTTTTCCTCTCTGTCCTATTGCTATTACCAATTGTACACTAAATAAAGTTCACAAGGTTATACAGCATCTGACCTCGTTTGTTTCTTAATCTTGCTCTTGGGATCATTTAAGAACCCTCCCCGATATCAGATCGGGACATTTTAAATTGGCATCACAGACAGGATCCCTTGAGATGAGAGTGCTGTACTACCTTGTTGTATTGGATGCAAACCTCTCAGGGTGAAATAGTTCTCTGTGTTATATTAAGTTATGACCTCGTGAGAATGAACAGGGAGAGCATGGACAGTGATATTGCATTTGTGTTTGTGTAAGGTATGAACTCCTGAGAGTGAACAGGGGAAAGTTGTGTACCAAGTTGTGGCCCTCTCAGGATGAAAACCCTTTTCCACTTTGCTTTTGTGTGAGATTTAGATTTGGTCTCCTGAGAGAGAATAGGCGAAATATGACATTGTCGATTGACCCTCTCAGGATGATATCCCCTTTGCATTAGGAAAAGGAAAAACCATGGCCGCCCAGAAGACAGCCGATGTTTGTGATGATATGCCCTCAGGGGCTGAGATACGTTAATTGATCTCTTGGAGGCACACAGATCCCGTCCCTCAGTCCAAGGGCGAGACTGGGTGAAAAATCACTGGTTTCAACCACAGAGTGTGGTGGATCGGATGAGGGTATTGCAGAAGGAAGCTAAGGTTAAGAAGGGAAAAGTAAAAGCTATAATTTGTGTAGTGTTAGGAGCAAGTCTGGCAGCTGCAGTGGAAGAGTAAAAGAAGTCTAGTCAAGCTGATGCTGTAATAGAATCACTGCAGACAGTCATACAGACCCTGCAAAACCAATTGAGAGATACTAAAGGGTTGTTAGAGGAGCAAAGGGATCAAAAAAGAATATTGAAAGATGAATTGAGGGAATACATTTTGGCAGAGATGGATACACATGCCGGGGCAGAAGTGAAACTTTTAGAGAAGAGGATATGTCAAATCTATCCCCAAGGAGATTTGCAGAAGGTAAAGGAAACTGTAGAAAGCCTCCCCCATATGTATCCACTGGTTAAAACAGAGTATGTGTACGAGGACAATAGCGATAACCGTCCTCAGGTTATCACCAAGGAAGTCCCATTTACAGCAACTGAATTGGCAAAGCTGAGAAGAGATTTTTCAAGGACTGCAAAAGAGTCAGAGACAGAGTATGTGTGGAGAGTGTCTTTGTCAGGAGGGGATGGAAATTTGTTGTCAGAGAATGAAGCAGAAGGATATTGGGGACCGGGTGTGTTTCTAACCACTGACAACCGCCGAGCACCTTGGTCATTGACACAGAGAGTTGCATACTGGGTCGGAGGGCTGAAGCCCTTGGAGAGGGGAGATCCCCTTGCCATAACGGGCACAGTGGATCAGTTAGTGGAAAATGTGCAGCAGGCAGCTTGTCTGCAAATGATGTATGATCAGGAGCTCAAGCCCGATCAAGGCTCCCCAATGATGATGCCTGTAGACCCAGAGAGGATGACTCCACTGATACGAGGACTCCCTGATTCCCTGAAAACCATTGCTATTCAAGTGCAAGGGAAGATTCAAAACATTCCTAATGGAGAAAGAGTGACTGCTGCTCTGGAGGGGATAGTGACCCCATACCATCGACTGCCGGGTAGGAAAGTATGGACATGGGAAGAGGTAGCCCAGGAATTGATTAATTTTGGAAGGAAATATGGCCCCATTGGGGGATCGTACCAAAGAAATGAGACCAGGGTCGTGCGGGCTGCAGAACAAATTAGTGGGAGACAATCATCCATGAGGAAGGGACAATGCTTGGGATAACCCCGATTTCAGAATCCAGGGAGAGAGAGGCCCCTAACTCGACTGGGATTGTGGCAACTAGAGCTTCAGAAAGGCATTCCTCAGAAACTGATGGATGGACTCATGACCAAAAAATTGGAAAAATTTGTGGAGAAATGGCCAGAGCAAAGGGTCACTTTCAAACCAACCCATAGTGCTCCACCCTTACTAGATCTTGGGGAGGAGCCAACTGGAGAAAAGAAGGTGTCAGGAAACTAGACCCTCCTCTCCCTGAAGGTGAGGGGGGATGTGGAGGATGGATGTTTGTAAGACAACTCACTTGCAACACAAAGGGAGATTTATTGATTACTGTTGCTGTAGGACCAAGGAAAAGACTGGTAACATTTCTAATTGATACTGGGGCACAAATTACCATGCTAATGCGGACTGAAGCAGAACAATGTGGAATCACAATTCCATCCAAAAATCTAATTGTCCTAAATGCCCTGGGAAAAACACAGTCAGTACCTATGACTCGAGTGAAACTATGGTTACCTATAGAGGAAAACCCTGTCAACACTATGGTGGCCATAGGATCTTCTCAAACTGATCTCTTAGGCATAGATGTTTTGAAGGGTAGGCAGTGGAGAGACACCCAGGGGAACTCATGGTCTTTTGGTATCTCCCAGATCAGGCAATTGATCGAAAATCAGACATGGAGGTGCGTTTATTGCAAGCAGCACCTACCCTGCCTCCCTCTAAATTAACAAATGTTAAACCCTACCCATTGCCTTTAGGAGCAAGGGAGGGAATTACACCAGTTCTGGAGGATCTGAAAAAACAAGGAGTTGTAGTTTCCACTCACTCCCCCTTCAATTCTCCAGAGTGGTCAGTTCAAAAACCTAACGGCAAATGGAGACTGATAATAGATTACAGGAGACTCAATGCCAATAGAGGTCCACTAACAGCTGCTGTACCAAACATTGCTGAATTGATAGCAACCATTCAGCAACAATCCCACCCTGTCATGGCCACAACTGATGTTAAGAATATGCTTTTCACGGTCACTTTACAACGTAAGGACCAGGATTGCTTTGCCTTCACCTTGGAAGGACAACAGTACACTTTTACACAACTCCCTCAGGGATACAAGCACTCCCCCATGCTAGCTCACCATGATCTAGCGTAAGAGCTGGAAATAATCCCCAGAAAAGCAGAGGTGAAGATTTATCAATACATAGATGATGTACTAATAGGAGGAAGTCAGGTAGAAGAAGTTAGAGAAACTCAGGACATCATCACCCATCTAGAAAGTATAGGATTGACAATCCCACCTGAGGAAAATACAGACACCTTCAAGTGAGGTAAAATTTTTAGGGATCTGGTGGAAGGGAGGCATGACATGCATCCTCCCGGATACTCTCTCCTCTCTCGATCAGATCAAAATGCCAGGGTCAAAGAAAGACTTGCAACATGCACTAGGGTTGCTTGTGTTTTGGAGGAAACACATTCCTGACTTTTCAATTATTGCTAGGCCCTTGTATGACTTATTGAGAAAGAGAGCTCAGTGGTATTGGACTCAGGTCCATGATAAAGCTTTATAGCTATTGGTGTTTAAACAGACTGCTTATCAAGCCCTGGGTCCAATTCACCCGACAGATCCAGTTCCAATTGAATAGGGCTTTGCCAAGACTGGATTGTCTATCCATTTATGGCAAAAGGGTCCAGAGCGTCCTGTTAGGCCCATTGGTTTTTATTCTTGTAGCTTTAAGGATGCTGAAAAAAAGGTACACAAATTGGGAAAAAGGTCTATTTGTAGTCAGTCTAGCTTTAAGAGAAGCTGAACGCACCATCCGGCAGCAATCTATAATTCTCAGACACCCACTTAAAGTGATCAAAGCAGTTTTAGCAGGAACTCCACCCCCTGATGGGGTGGCCCAGAGAGCCTCCATGAGAAAATGGTATGCACAAATAGAACACTATTGTGAAATCTTTTCTGTAACTGAAGGAGCCACAAAAGAGTTAAATATACAGGACGAGGTAGACCTGAGTAGGGAAACACCCGAGCTTTTGCCTGTGATACAAGTAACTAGTCTGTTTTCTGGACAATTGCAAAATGTCTGGTTTACAGATGCCTCATCAAAGTGAGAGGGAAAAATTTGGAAATACCTAGCTGTGGCACTTCAGGTAGACACCAAGGAACAGATCATTACCGAAGGAGAAGGTAGTGCGCAAGTAGGAGAATTAGTTGCTCTGCAGAGTGTTTTCCAACACAAGGCTCAATCTGCTTCTTCTGTCTATATCTATACTAACTCTTATGCTGTGTTCAAAGGTTGTACTGAATGGCTTCCATTCTGGGAACACAATGGGTGGGAGGTTAATAGAATACCTGTATGGCAAAAGGAAAAATGGCAAGATTTCCTCACCATTGCCAGACAATGAAAATTTGCAGTAGCATGGGTAGCATCTCATCAGCAGGATGACACCCCCGTGAGCCAATGGAATGTCAAGGTGGATGAACTAGCACAGCTGGCTCCCCTACAGAGCACCCAGATAGCAGAAAATTGGGAACGTCTGTTAGAATGGCTACATGTAAAACAGAGACACTCGGGAATTAAGGACCTCTACTGTGAGGCACAATCCTGAGGGTGGCCACCAGTTACCAGAGAAGAATGTAAAACTTGTGTATCTTCTTGTGAGCAATGCCGTGTCCGTCTGGACAGACATCCGCTGGGGAGTGACCCCCTGCACTTAAGAGAGGGAAAAGGCCTATGGGAGGCCTGGCAGATTGATTACATTGGCCCCTTGCAAAAATCAGAAGGAAAATACTATATATTGGTAGGCCTAGAGATAGTGTCTGGGCTAGTACAAGCTAAAGCATGTGCTAAGGTAACAGGAGAAAACACCATAAAAGCTCTGAAAGAATGATTTGGAATTTTCCCCAGGCCACAATCAATCCAGTCAGATAACAGCTCACATTTTACAGCCAAAGTGGTCCAAGAATGGGCAGCCCAGGAGGGAATTTTGTGGGGTTTTCATACTCTGTATTACCCACAAGCGAATGGAATTGTGTAAAGAAAAGAACAAATGGTCTAGTAAAACGCTTCCTCAAACCGCACAAGCCAGGATGGGCTGAGCGAGTGTGGGATGCAGTGACCAGCGTCAACAGTCACTGGAGGGTAAATGGATACCCAAAGATCACAGCATTCTGTCCAAAAACTCCAGCAATCATGCCAGCCCCACATGGTCCTGACCACACCAGCAATCCATCTCATTTCCCAGGACAACCTGTCCTGGTTGAACTCCCTACAGTGCGCAAAGCGCCACTGGTGTTGGACACACCTCTTAATAAATACACCTGGAAGGCAAAAGATGCCTGTGGGAAACCTCATAAGATTCAAACTAGATGGACTGTTCCATCTTTCTAACCCGAGAAGTGAATTTGTTCTTTTGTTTCACTTTCAGCTGGAAGCAGGTGACTCATATGTACCCACAGAAAAAGTGAAGCAGATCCAGATTATGGTGTAATTTGGTTAGGATGTGTATGTTATGTTTTTTATGTTATGTTATGTTATGTTATGTTATGTTATGTTATGTTATGTTATGTTATGTTATGTTATGTTATGTTATGTTATGTTATGTTATGATGTTTTATGTATTCTGTGCATTTATCAATGGAAGTGAAGGGAAACCAATTCCCCCATCTCCCCCTGACCCATATGACCCCTTTGAGGATAATGAATTTATGTTGTTAGCAAAAACTGCAAGACAGACTTTTAATCTAAGTCACTGTTGGGCCTGTGGAGGACCTCTAGGATTGTCAAGCTGGCCGTGGGTTTCTACACCCCTCACCCCAGCACAAATTGTAAGCAATTACAGCCAAACTGGTAATACCACCTGGGATGATAGTGGAACATGGTCAATTCAATTTCCTAGTATGGGCAAATTTTGTTTAAATTGCACCCAGAAGGGAGGGGTCAATGTGGGAGAAAGCAGGTGTCAATGGACACTCACACATAAATCGGTTAACAAAAATAGAGGTGTTTATATATGGATGTGGCTTAACAAAAATGGGTATAACAAAGGATTTGAGGGGTTCTGGTCAAACAAAAATGAAACTGTGTATGCTAAATTGCAGAGAGACTACTTTTATCATCATTTGTGAGTGGAAAAAGGACACTGGTGCCTGGTATTGTACCGCCTGGACAAATGGTCACCTAAACGAGTTTTTCAGCCCCTCGGGAGATAGAAACACATCTTACTTCTAGATCCCAAAGGCTGCAGCTGGACCATTTGCAAAGGGTGCCAAAGGCCAAAAGGGCCATTATTGAATATGTGGACATACTGCCTACAAACGACTACCAGCAGACTGGTCAGGGATTTGTTATGTAAAGATTATCCAACCTCTGTTTTTCCTTCTTCCAGAGGAGGATGGTCCTCAATTAGGAATAAGGAAACGAAAGGATTGTCCACAACAAGCAATCTGTTGAGTTTGAAATAGATGGAACACAAAAGTGGGGGGGAAATGAGTGGCCCCCCTGAAAGAATAATTAAGCATTATGGGCCTGCAACTTGGAATCCCAAGATTGGGCAAGAGAACCCATTTATACTTTGAACCTTATAATTTGACTACAAGCAGTTTTAGAAATTATTTCCAATAAAACTGCTAATGCTACAGACCTTTTAACTCAACAATTTCAACAGATGCGCTCTGCAGTCCTTCAACATCGCATGGTTTTGGATTATCTGTTAGCAGAAGAGGGGGAGGTATGTGGAAAGCTAAATGTTTCTAATTGTTGTTTGGAAATAGATGATGTAGGTGAAGTAGTCCTTCAACTAACTACAGACATTAGAAAATTGGCCCGTGTCCCTCTTCAAACATGGAATGGCTGGAATGGTGATTTATGGTCTTGGTTACCTGAAGCACCACGGGTAAAACAGCTTTTATTTTATCTATTATGTGCATTTTCTGCCTTGATGTTTCTGCCCTGTATTATTCCTTGCTTTGTTCATTTAATCCAACATGTTTTATCCAACGTGCAATTTACATCTACTGCCTCACCTGATGGTGTAAAACAGATTTGAGTTATTTGCCAATCAAAGTCTGCCACTGTATCAATCATTTAAACCCTTTTTCATATATATATATATATATATATATATATATATATGTGTGTCTTTTTTTATACTTAGGATAGGTGCCTTTAGGCCTAAACAACACATGCCCTTTGGGCTGGGGGCGTGGAAATCCATTTTCTTGTTGCAGAGACGGACCCCAA